CAAATAAACATTTTCTGCAAATACAGTGACATATTTGTTTTAAAATTTTAAGTTTAATTTTTTTGTTTATCTATTCTTATCCTCCCATTGAATAGAAAGAGGAAGCTTTATACTTGCTGTTTTCTGTGTATAAATTACAGATAAACATAACAGTATACAAGTAGACATGCAATACCCCCATGGTATCAAAATCTTATGGAGAAAGAAGCACATTAGGGAAAACATGGACTAAAAAGCCCGAAAGGGGTATGATAATGCAAAGTTTGAGAAACACTGGCTCACAGACACGGAAGAGCACAGTACTGGACACAGACCCATGGGATAGAGAGCCTGGAGGTAAACCCACATGTCCACAGGAGACCTTTATGTTAAGTTGGCCAAGCAACAGAAAGACAAGGACTGCGAGAGTCCACACATATGTAGAATCTAAAAGCACTAATCTCACTGAAGCTGACAGCAGAATGGTGGCTACAAGAAGCTGGGGACAGGAAATGAGAGGGGTGGGATGACAAAAAGCTGATCAATAGCTACTAAGTTCCAGTTAGACAGGAGTGTGACTTCTAGGTAATGATAATGTACTGTGTATTTCAAAACCTTGAAAGATTTTCAATGTTTTCACCATAAATAAAGAGTGAGTGTGAGATGAGACAAGTATGTTTACCTGATTTAAACATCACACAACATACACATATATTGAAGCACCACATAGTACTTCATAAATATGTACCATTTTTGTTATCTATCCATTAAAAATCCAGAAAAAAAAAAAAAAACAGCTGATGTACTCAGTGGTAGAGTGCTTGCCTAGCATGCAGAAGGCCCTGAGTTTAATCCCCAGTACCACAAAAACAAACAAACAACAAAAAAATTTAACTTAAAGTTTTAGAAAAGATATGAGACACCTATCTCATCCCCACTTTTCCCTACTGATGAGACTCCCTCTCTCCTTTCCCCACGGAGGCACTAGTAACAGTCCAGTAGCTGTTATTACAGCCTTGGGCTGCTGAGGCACTGATTCCTGGGGGTCTGAAACAGCAGTAAAAGGTTCCTAGCATACCTAGTTCACATTTGGACCCCACAAACAATCCTAAAAAGCTCATATAATGTTCTAATAATACTAGAGGTTCAGAAATGTTATAAGTAAAAACCCGACCAATGGAAAGTACATGTAATTACTTTTGATAAGACATTACTTATAATTAAAATTAAATATAATTAATTAAACCTAAATTATAGCCTGTAATCCCAGCACTCAGGAAGCTGAGGCAAGAGGACTCCACAAATTCAAAGCCAGCCTGAACCAGCTCAGCACCTAGCAAATGTTTGTTTAAATTTAAAAAGACGTGTTTAACAATTACTTCTTACCCCAAAACTTTATCTGTAACATAAGCCTTTATATAACTTTATATTACATGCCTTTATTTACTAATTAACCAAACTAAATCTAAAACTAAGGGTTTATTAAAATCATTACAATAAACCAGTTAAAAATATTTTTATCTCTTACACAGATGACTATCCTAAAACCAGTATATCAATTATCTTTAGTGGAAGATAAGGCAACTCTACCCACAACATGGGATTTTTAAAGCTGTCCGCTATATAGAGTAAAAGGTTAAATTCTCAAAATTCCTGCAGCAAACTGTCCAATATATGGAAATATACCTACAAGGTAAAGACATTTTACATAAAAATCAACTAAGTAACATATGCACCCAGAAGAATTATAGAAATGATCTCTTGTTACCTGAGCAACATCTTCCAGTTTATTCCACTTGATTGACAGAAGTAATTTTGGCAGTGACTGTGGGAAATTCTCTCTGCAGTCTTGTCGCAAAGTCCAAATAAGATCCATTTCATTTTCACACAGCTGAGACAAGGGATCCCTGTCCAAGATTTCTTTCAGTACAGGAAGAAACTTTTTTCCACCTCGACTCTAAGAAAAAAAAATACTCATTATAGAATTTAACAGTCCAAACAACACTGGCAAACATTCAGCAAATTTATATGCAATGGATTCACACATAATTAAAGGCTTGGGGCCAGGGATATAGCTCAGTGGCATAAATGCCTGCCTGGCAAGTGCAAGGTCCTGAGTTCAATTTCTGGTACTAAAAAAAAAAAAAAAAGATTTAACATAATTATAAACTTTACCATGTGAAATATAAAAATACAATTCCCTAAGAATATTAGTAAAGTGTATCCCATTTAAAAGTTTTCATTTCTCAGTATTTAATTTGTAAGCTAAGGATGAACGAAAGAGCTTTAAAAACTTTTTCTTAGTACATGTTGCAGAACGGTGTTTCCATTCCTTATGTGCAGCTGGTCCATGTACACCACATACCCCGATTCCTTCTTCATCCCCTTACCCATTGAGAAGGGTATATTTCCCTACTTCCTATTATCTATCTTTTATTTTGTTGTTTATTCTTAAAACAGTTCTAAAACTAAAAAAGCATTTTTTTAAAAAACCCATGTTCAAACACCAGGTGGCAGTGGTGCTTTTGCCCTAAAAAAGTCATTTATTATTTGCACTAACTTCAATTTTCAATTATTATAAACCAAAAAAACCTACAGTGACCCTAAGAGGTGCCCTCTTGGCTCAAAAGCGTAAGATCTCTTTAGATTGAGAACTCTTATTGGGGGGAGAGGTATATGCAGTTCAGTGTCAGAGGGAATGCTTAGCATGTGCAAGGTCATGGGTTCCGTCTCCAGAGTGCGCACACACACAAACACTCACTAAGATTACAACAAACCACGCCAAAATCAAAACTGTATGCTGGCTAAACAAACCTGAAAAAATTACAATTATCACATTTTCCTTCCCAATCCCTTTAAGATTATACTAAAATAAAACCCAACAGGGAGGCTGAGGCAGAAAAATAACTTGAGCCCAGGAGTTTGAGAGAGCCTGGGCAACACAGTGAGGAGACAGTGGGAGGGAAAAGGAGAAGAGGAGGGGAAAGCAGAAAGGGAAGGGGAAAGAAGAGGAGGACGACAGGGAAGAAAACAGGAAAGCGGACGAGGAAGAACAGAAAGAGAGGGGAGAAGCACGACGTAACTCCAGCACCCTGTGAGGCTAAGCAGAGAAGGATCACAAATTTGAGCCCAGCCTGGGAAACATAGTGAGACCACATCAGAATATATATACATGGTACACTTTTGAAAGATCTTGTTACCCTTGTATGGGGGACCCTAGAGGGTGTTGTATATTGCAGAAAACCCACTAACTACACTGCCTGCCCTTAGAGAAGAATTGAAAATGCATGTGCACCAATCTCAATGACCATGGTTACCCAAGCAGCAATTCGCTGTACTAATAAATGCCTGGAAGTTACTGACCATCACTGTGACCACCTCTTGTAATTATAGAGGCCAAAGGTAATTTGTATTAATCTCATGATGTCTCAATAAATTTAGTATTATTTATACAAGTGTTTCTTTCTGGAAGTGTTTATGCATTTTTTATTTGGCAGACTTTGCATATATGGGGCTGGGAAAATAGCTCAGTGTAAAGGTTGTAGGTTCAAAATCTAGTACCACACACATACACATCCCCTTATTAAGGAAGGTAACCTGCTCTTGACATAGAACACAGCTGTCTTCATCCACTCACCCAAAAGCCCGTATGTTTTTTTAAAAATACTAATCTATAATAGCCCTAGAAAATAAGAGTGCTTAACACAGGAATCCTTTAGTGAGACAATACACACAGGACTAGAGATCAGACCTAAGACCGGTGTAGTAGTGAGAACGCTATGCACATAGCTCTGTGCGAGGTCTGGCTCAGAATTAAGGATCAAGGAGTGGGAAGAAGGCAGAAATCACTGGGAGATCACCAGGGGAGCTCCAGGTAGAGCAGCTGCTATAGTCAAGCATGCCCCTATGTTTGTGTGAGCTGGGACAGCAAAGTATCAGCTCCAGATGAGAAGCACAGGGACTCAGTCCTAGGGAACATCAGATCCCAGGACGCATGGAACTCTTCACCTATAAGAGACCCTAACACTTTAGAGTTATTGGAAGCACATAATAGTAAAAGGCAGACAACCAGGACCGTCAAACCTAACAAGTGCTAATGTAAAAATCAACACACTTGAGAAAAACAAAGCAATAAAAGAAAGTTGCCAAAGACCATATTAGAAAACCAAAGCTATTTCTTCAAGGAGAACAAGCACGACACTGAAGAAGAAACAATCAAATAGTTTTAAAAATCTTTGAAACAAAGAGAAAGAAAGAAAGAAACGGGTGGGGGAAGGGATGGAAGAAGAGGGAGCTGGGTGTGGGGACTCAGGCATCTATAATCCCAGCACTCCAGCTGGAACCCAGCCCGGGCAATCTGGCTTGTTGCAAAATAAAAAACTGAAAGAGGGCTGGACATATAGCTAGTTAAGTACAAAAGTGTCACCAAAGATTTTAAAGGTAGTTTTATTTAATGAAACAAAACAATTTTATTATAAGTATACACTTATCAACTTGTCAGGTAATTATAAACCAGGAAATTACAGTTTACACTTAGCAGGTAGAAATTATATAGGGATATATTGATTCTAATATCTCTACTAACTCTCTATTAAGCTGTATTGCTCCTAGAACCCCAGAGGTATGAATTAATATTCACTGTTTCTGCAATAATCTTATCTAAATCAAAAGGTTCCCTAGACACTAAGGATACAGTAATTTTGTCTAGGTTTGGTATACTATTTTTAAAAATTAAGCACATAGTATAATTAATGAACAGTAAAACTAAAAATGAAAGCCTTTCTACACCTACATTCTTTCTTCCTCAGAGCTAGATATAGAGTCTATACCTACCAAAAACTAAACTTGCATTTAAATGGCAATATCCTTTCTCCTTTTTAAAAATGGTATCTTATGTATACAGTTTTTCCTTTTTTGATTTAATGCTCTGTGGGGATCTTGTCATGTTTGCTTAAGTAGATCTATGTCACTTTTTAAATGCTCTCTTAACAGTAATTATTACTAACCATTAGGTTTTGTTTTGTTTTGTTTTTTGGTACCGGGAACTCAGGACCTTGCACTTACCAGGCAGGCACTGTGCCTGCCGAGCTATATTCCCGGACCCCCATTAGTTATTAAAACATAGATATCCCTACTGATAGATGTTTTGCTCATTTTCAATTTTTCTCCACTGTGTGGCAATGACTAGTTTACTTGTACAATTCTTTACACATGTACTTTGTGGGGTGAAATTGTTAGATCAAAATGTAAGTCGTCTTTTTGTTTGTTTGTTTTGAGGCAGAGTCTCACTTTGTAATTTCAATTGACCCTAAACTCACTATGTAGTCCAGGCTGGCCTCAAAAGTCGCAGTGTCAGCCTCCCTCGTGCTGGGATTACAGGCGTGTGCCATCGTGGCCAGCCTACGTGTGCATTTTGAACGCTGATTCTGCCAAACTGTACACCCTAAAGGACTTAGAATTTAAAAACTTTCCTTCACTCTGTAAGGGCTCTTATCTTTTTTGTATTTCTGTGAGCCTTTTTAATTACAATCCAATATACCAAAAAATGTTGTCACATTATTTGAACTAGTATTATTAACAGTCAGCTTACATTCTCTTCCTAATAGTCAGAATAGTTATTTTTCTTTTCTCCCTCCTTTCTCCTTCCCTCCTTCCCTTCGTGCCTTCCTTCCTTTTTGTTTTGTTTCATTAAACAAAACTACCTTTAAAATCCTTCTTTGAGGTTTTTCTTTCCAGAAACTTGTAATACAAAACTGATAGGAGAAAAAAACAGGGAAGCAAGCACGATTTAGTTACTGTGGTCCCAACCAGGCCCAGAGCTTTTCAAAAATGGGAAGACCAGAAGCCTGGCACCCTTGGTCCGCTTTCCTGGGGTCAAGCATTCAAACTCAAATGGCAAAATTTAAGCCAGAAGACAACATCATGGAATCAGTGGGAATGACTTGTACTGAGATTCTGAGAGCTCTAATTCAAACCAGGAAAGAGCCTAAACCAGGTATTTCTCCAAACAGCCACAACTAAATAGTGCTTTTACACTATGAAAATGAGGAAAATATACACACTGCCTTTATTTTTGCTTTCTAATCTCTATGGTATTAACATCTTATGGGTATAACAGCTTTGCCAAAGACACTTAGAGGCCGTAACTGGATGACAAAATAAGAGAACACTAGATTAGAGTTACACAGTCTTAAGCTAGAAATAGAAAGTAGAATAAAAATACTCATTCTCTTTAACATTTTCCCATGGTACTAAGGTTTCTTACTCTTAAGCACATGACAGCTAAAGACTGGATTTCCTGGTCTTCCTTGTATTTTGTTATACTTATGTGACTGAGGCTTGGCTAATGAGACATGAGTAGAAAGCAAACCTACTAATGGTATCTGCTCAGAAAGACTTGCATACAGCCTCTAGTCCTGCTCATGTTCCTGCTGACTGTAATACACCAAAGTAGGAAGCTGGAGTGACGATATTAAATTGTGGAATGGAAACTACATGTTAAACAAGGCAGAGCTCCAAAGTGGAAGATATCTAATCCTCTGCAGTGTGATGCTTGTCCTTATTACACCTGCTTCCATACATGAGAGAAATACAACTTCCTCATTCAACTAAGGAATATTCGCTAAGAATGTACTGTCAATTCACAGGGTGCTAGGGTGCAACAGCATCCCTATAGACTGCTGAATCTATATTTGTATCAGAAAAGGGATCAGCAACTGAACACTATCAACTGTGTTGCCACTTGGCAAACACTAGGTTGTGCATACTTACCCCGTCACAGCCTGCCCTTGTATGTCAGTTATGGTCTTCATAACCACACATAAAATGAAGGCACCTAATAATGCACACAACTCTATATTAAGAAAAGGCACTTAAAGCTCTTGATACTTACTGATACATTAGCACTGTCACTGCTTGCAATTTCAGCTGCCTTTTCAATAATCTGTTTAAAAAAATTTTTACAGTTAAATTTTGGCTCTAATTTGTAGGATTTTAAGAGTAAATAACTATGCTTCTACTTAAGACTGCAAGGAACTACATATGGCCTGGCATTTCTATGCTGTATAATGAAAGCATGAATTTTAAAAGCAAAATGGTGCTTCCTAAGTTCTTCAAACCCTTGACAAAAACAACACAATGATATTTCTGTAAAAGGCTGCAACTCCTAGGGAGCACCAGGATTATCTGTCCATAAAACAAACTGTGGTTTGTATATATATGTCAATTTAAAAAAAAATAAATACGGGTAAACAAGCTGATCAGAGTGGTGCAAGCATGTAATCCTAGTACTTGGGCAGCTAAGGAAAGAGGATCACTATGAGTTTGAGGCCAGCCTGAGCTACATAATGAGTTTAAGATCAAATTAAACTACATAATGAGATCCTGTCTAAAAAACAAAAACTAAACAAACAAAAAATACAAATGAAAGAGGTTAGCATGGTGGCATACGCCTATAATCCCAGCTACCAGGAGTCTGAGATAGGAAAACTGCCAGTCTGAGGTTGTCCTGGGTAACTAGGTGAGACCCTATCTCAACAGGAAAAAGTAAAAAGGGTATAGATGTGGCTCAGTGTTAGAATACTTGCCTAGCAATGTGCGAGGCTCCGGATTCAACCCACAGGACTCAGTAAAACCAAACTTCAAAACCAAAACCCACAACAAAAATGTAGCAATAATTATTAAGTTGAGCAGAAAGAATAGGACCTATGGGAACTTTTGGTATTACATCTATATTCAAAGGAACCTCTGTAGTATAAACATATTTATACATATTTGAAGACTAATATCTCTATTCCCAATTGATTTTCAAGCCATAATTTCCACAGGATTAGAAAGGCAAATTGAAAGTTTAATAACCAGTTAGGAATGACTGCAGCAATAATAAAATAATACATTTTAAAGAAATGTGACAGCTGGGCATGATGGTGCACGTCTGTAATCCCAGCACATGGGAGGCTGAGGTAGGAGAACTGCCACAAGTTCGAGGCCACTCTGGGCTATATAGTTTTTCAAGGTTAGTCTGGACTACATACTGACACTATCTCAAAAAACAAAAAAAATTCTGTTTTTACTTCTCTTAAAATACTGGATTAGAACCATTTATATTTTCATAGGCTGCTATATTTGTTAAAATTTTCTAAAAAGTATTTCATTTTATCCCAAGTAAACAATACTGATCACTGAACACATACCGTAACTGTATACATTAACAGTCATTATATAAAATATAGCACAAGTAGCTGAACTTAGATAAATTTCTATCTAAGGACAACTAAAACCATCACAAAAATGTAACAGATGAGTCAAAATGAAGCTTTCTCTACTTAGTGTGTATTAGAGTATATGGTTCTTACCATATTTGGGATTTTTATTGTAAAAAAAAAAAAAACAAACACAAAGTTTAATTGTAAATTATGGGTTAAAAAACATCTTTAAAGAACTTGAAAAGTTACTTCACGGATGGATAAAATTCAATTAAAGATGAAGGAAGGAGCACTGAGTTACACGGATTAAACGTGTATAATACTTGTAAAAACTCCTCTAGGACTAGGCACTAGCTCAGTGGTACAGTGCTCGCACAGCTTGGGCAAGACCTTGGGTTTGATCCCAGCGCCACACACATACCTATGTAGGTATGGTAGTGTTTAAGATACAACTAAGTTTGTAGGTGGATTAATGTAAATATTTAGTATGATATCAATATCAATTCTCAATTTTGTTTATTTTTTTGAGATAGACTCTTACTAGCCTGTATAGACCAAGCTAGTCTTGAACTAACAATATAGCTCAGGCTGGCCTCAAACTCACAGCAGCCCTCCTGCTCTGCCTCACACCTCCTGAAATTATGGGCATGTACTACCGCACTTTGCCCGCAGTCTTCACAGGTGACTTGCTCTAACTTGTATTTAAAAACTTCCTGGTTTTTTGAGAATTTTTTTTTTCTTTTTTTTTCTGGTACCGGAAATCGAACTCACGACCTTGCGCTTGCCAGGCAGGCACTGTGCCACTGAGCTAAATCCACAGCCCCTTTAGAGAATTTTAAAAAAGATTTCTGAATACAAATCAGTGACAATCATACCTAATACAAGAATGCCAAACCTGAATATAAAAATATGACAATTTAGCTCTCTTAGCATATAAGTTACCACAGCGCTATATTTAACTCCAAGATATGCAGTTTACATACTAAGGAAACGCACTTTAAAATGTGAGTCCTTGGTATAGATTCTACAAAAATACCACCTTAAAAAGCCCTACTAACAATACTATTCAACATAAACAATGTATTCTATGAATATAAACTAACACAACAATGATTCCATCTTTATCTCTGAACTAGCACCCTGGGCATGTTTCACTAAGTATTTTAAATGTTCAGAGTATAAAAAAATACATTTATAACTTTTTTTACATTGAAAACCACCTTAGAACAATTATAATTTCCTCACTTTATAAATGAGGAACTTGAACACCAAAGATGCTCATGTCTCACTCTACTAAGTGATGGGCCTACTAGAGCCTGAAGGTTCCCTGCTCCGTGACCTTCCCCCGGAACCAAACTGTCAAGGAGCATACAGTTCACAAAGTGAAACAGCTACACTGAGTTTAAACTATGCACATACAACACTAGTAAATAATCATTCAGTTATTTCATGACCTTTTAAATAATTAGCTTACCTTATCGAAGGGAGGGTAATAACATGGTTGTTTTTTATTCTCTGGAAATTTAATATGCAAATCTGTTGCATTTTCAGTATATGGATTTGTTTGAACAGTTCCCATCGGATTTAACATTTCTTCAAGTTCATCTGAAATATGCAAATAATTTTTATTCTTAAGGAATGTTTTTAAAACTAAGAAAAAAACCTGTAATGGATATCTTCACATGAAGATGACTTAAATATGTCACCCAAGAAACTTCAGCAGACAATTCTACCAGTAACTCTCTAGTTTTCTGTTCACGGTTGCAATAAAGTTTCAGTGTGAGTTTGCATACACCTTTAAAACAAGAAAGTTAAAAATTAATGACCTCTTCAAATCCGGGGCCACGTCTCAGTCCTGAGTAAAGTTTAAGTAGAACTGCCCTTCATCAAAATGAGGTGGCCCACAGCAACTATTATACCTGTACTTAACAAACACATGGAACCTTGTTTGCACAGTCACCAAAGTACCCGGGTATCCAGACTGATACTCTGAGAGTGTTCACTGATATTCATCTTATCATATCTAATGTTGTTGATCCTTTATTATCCTGCAGCTCCTAACATAAATAAATACATATATA